GGAATTTTTAACGTTAAACGCAATAATAAAAATTGGCTGTAGTATCAAATATACCTAATGTTTTAGTAGTGAGCCCAATAATATTAAGAAAAGCAAATAAATTGTATTCAACAGTAAAATAATATTTTTTTATTTCCTGAAGTGAAAAAATATTTAGATAAAGGAGAAATTATTTTTCCAGATAATAATGAAATTAGCAATGAACAGGCAGAGAGTTCTGAAGGAATGAAAACTTGATAGACCGTTTTGTATAATTCTAGAAGATTTATGAAATAATAATTAAGCCAAAATTAAGCGAATATGTACCAACATTAGAACAAGAAATATCAGGGTTTAGATTTAGGCCACAAACAAATGACACTATATTCAGGCTAAGAAGACTGGAGAGAACAATTGTATAAGAAGGGGAACCATAATAGCGTCATTTATATACTTGAACATCTTCAAACCCAGCTTGTACAGATTCATAATCATTTAGCATCATTATTAGCCATTGTGTGTAAACTGCTAAACATAGGCCTTCCGTAAATAATTTTATTTCAGCCGATCTTAAACACCTTCAATCCGGCTAAGCTGCATGATCTTGATGTCGTCCGACCGACTTGTTGTGCAGGGTATATTACACAAATTGTCACAATTTATACATTATAGTGTACATACAGTTTATTGGGTTTTCAAACATGCAAAAAGATATTTCGTAGTAAAAAAACCTGGTATACAGCCATGATACTAAGACTTCCAGTAGTTTATAGTATCATGGTATACAGCTATATGACTTTTTGAATATAATTGTAGTGGTGTCACACTATTTTTTTTATTTCTAATTAACGTGTCTCGACATCTTTGGTCATTGACGACACGGGAGCACAAGTATACAATAGTACCTACAGAGTTTACAGAGTAATACAGAGTTTACAATAGGAAAGATTAAAGAATAACAATATTATATAAACTCTATTTTGTTAAACAATTCTGTAGTCTTTAAGAAGTCTATTAGGCCTTTAATATTTCGGAAGTTCTTTTAAACAGTGGGTTATATTGTTGGCAATGCGAGTTATTTAAGAAACACCTGTGATTTAAAAATTGTCAGCAATCTGTACTGGAATCAAACATCATCTATCCTGACAGAGGCAGGAGAATCCGACGATATCAAAATGAAACGTGGCGTCCGTCAGGGATGTATACTATCACCACTGTTGTTTAACATATATTCTGAGGAAATCTTTCAAAAAGCAGTGGGTGATGTTGAAGCCGGAATTCGAATCAACGGAGAATCTATCAATAACATTAGATACGCGGACGACACGGTAGTATTCGCTGACAGTTCTGAAACCCTCCAGGAGTTAATGAACAGAATCACAGAGGTCAGTCCGAGATACGGACTTTTACTAAACACTAAGAAAACAAAATGCATGATGATCTCTAAGAAGGAACAGCAATTTGGACAAATCAGTGTAAACGGTCAACAAATAGAAAGAGTAAAAACATACACCTACCTTGGTACGAACGTCAATGAAAATTGGGACCATTCCATAAAAATCAAATGTAGAATAGAGAAAGCAAGATCTGCATTTCAAAAAATGGCTAAGTTATTCAAATGTCATGATTTATCAATGCCCATAAAAATCAGGTTACTACGATGTTACATCTTTCCTATACTGTTGTACGGAGTTGAGTCCTGGACTCTCACAGACGTCACCTGCAAGAAAATTGAGGCTTTTGAAATGTGGCTTTATCGTCGCATCCTGAAGATATCGTATACCGACCACGTTACTAATGAGGGTGTTCTGTTGAGAACGAAAAAAGAAAAAGAGCTGTTAACCACAATAAAAACAGCCAAAATCGAATACCTCGGTCACATCATGAGGAACAGCGAAATATATGGACTGCTGCAACTAATCTTACAGGGAAAAGTAGAAGGAAAACGTGGACCAGGAAAGCGAAGGATTTCCTGGCTGAAAAATCTACGAACGTGGTTTAACAAAAAAACCACAAATCTTTTTAGATCAGCAGTGTGCAAAGTGCAGATTAACACGATGGTCGCCAACATCCGAAACGGATAGGCACTACAAGAAGAAGAAGAATGCGAGTGGCCTGGTAGTGTTGACATTCTGTGAGGATGTGTTTGACGGTAATAGGAATATCGTTGCAGTGGGAGCATAACTGTTGGTCTGTAGAGAATTTAAGATGACCGTGTGTGTTCCATCCTCAGTCATCGTATTGCTATCTTCTCTTTTCTGTTCAGAGATGCTAGGGATAAATAGCTGTTAACGTTAGGTTGTATTTCTCTGAGCTTTGTGTCTTTGATGATCCAAAGTTCCTGCCACTTGCCTTGGATATTTCTTTTGAATTTTGATTATTTATCTTCTTGGAGCTGTATGTTGTAGGCGGGTAAGTTGGATGTAGATGCTTATTTTGCAGCGCTGTCAGCCATCTTATTTCCTTGGACGCGGATATAAGAAGGCACCCATATTATTGTTATTGTAGTCCCTCGGAAAGTGTGAAGATGGATCGCTTCTAGTATTTTTTGCAATTGGTGATGTTGATTGAAAATATTTTCTACGGATAAATGAATTACGGATAAGGAATCGGTGCACAGAGCTACACAGCTCTCTCTCTGTATCTCTGTCATCCCGTTGAGGGATGGTTGTTGGTCCTTCATCGGGTGCCTCCCCAGGTGGCGGATAGGGGAATGCCTCCTAGATATTGGTGGTACCGGGAAAATGAAATACTTGGGGCGGACCAAAACCAGTTAACACAGCAGCGTCTGAGGTACCAAAACTCCTTTTGGCTCCAGCAAGCTTTCCTCATCTTCACCACTTTTTAGGTCACGAGCCGCCGCTGGCGACACTTTGATGATTGTTAAAAGGGAACTCGAGAGCTTTTGAAATACTGAAGAGTTCTAAAAAACGCTACATTCGTTGGATATTCGGTATTGTCCTAATACTGTAGTGACAGAACAACCAACTCCATCTGCGTTTAGGGATGCATCGGTATAAAGCACCTTATCGTAGTGGGATGTATTCACAATATCCTTGAAAGCATATCGAAACATGATATTATTTGTTTGTTGCTTATTAAATTGTTCATAAAAGAATGTGTTCTAGACCATGGGGGGAAATCTGATTTTATAGATGCAAGTGTCTGAGATAATTTTGTGTCTTGACACAAGTGTTGTAGGATCTGTGGGATTGAAAGTATACGTATGGGCGAGTTTACGAGTTCAGGACTTGGCGAAGTCAGAATATTAAATACAGAGTTAGTCGGATTCGATGAAATTCTGCTAGCATAAGATATAAGTAATTGCTGCCTTCGAAGTTAAAGGGGGACTTCATGAGATTCACAATAGAGACTTTTAGCGCAACTGGATCGAAATGCTCCTAAGCAAATTTGATGAACAGTGTTAACGGTAGTGATAAATTATTTATTGCGGACAAGTAAACTATACAACCATAGTCTAATTTCGATCGGATTATAGCTCTATATATTTTAAGTAGTAAACATTCATCTGCACCCAATTGATCATGGGACAATGTCTTTAACAAATTTATTCTGCTTAAACAGTTGCCTTTTATTTCATCGATATGACGACTTCAGGTAAGTTTGTTATCGACAGTTAGTCCTAAAAACTTGTAGTGATCAATTAACTGTACGTTTACTCCATTTACTGTTATTTTCTGTATTTCTGCGCTCTTGAATTTAATTATTTTGGATTTATTGAAAGAGAACCTGAAGCCAGTTTTCTCGGACCATGTAGTAAGGGATTCGACAAAATTTTGTAATAAAGATGAGGTTCCAACTAGGCTAGTACCTAGCTTTGTAGTAGGCTAGTAGAAAGAAGGTAGAACTCAAAGTAGAACCTTGAGGTACACCATTTTCAGTGACATAGTTGTCGGAAAATATTCTGTTACCTGTTATTGTGAAATTTGTATTATTTAAAAAGTTGTTCATAAAGTATAATATGTTGCCCGTAAGAATATTTTCTACCAGTTTTTTAAGGATAACCGTCGTACATGTTGTATCATAAGCACTTTCTATATCAAAAATTCCTGCGATTACGTCTTGTTTGGAGGCCATAGCATTTGCTATACTGAAGGTTGTTTAGGATTTTAAGGTCATTCTCATCTATCGAATGTTCCTGGAGCAATCTTACTAATTCTGAATGATTAACACAATCGAACGGTAGTCCATGAAGCATAGGAAGACATATTTTTGCTGATCTCTGCATTTCTGAAGTAGGACAGTTAAGCTATAAAGTGCTTCTCTTGTGCCAAATCCTTGTCTAAAACCGAACTGTGTGGGGCTAGTGTCTCTTTCACATCTGTTATATATTCTTGTGTAAATTATCTTTAAGAACAGTTTAAGGACCTGGCTTAATAAGCTGATCATTCGGAATTGGTCGCAACTATTAGCGTAGGGCTTTTTTGAGATTGGTATAAAGGTTGATTGAAGCCAATCCTGTGGTATTTGACCAGACCCGTAAATGTCATTAAAAAGATCTACCAAGGCCTCTATATTGTCTTCACTCACTATTGTTAGAACCTCTATGTATATATCGTCTGGGACTGGTGCTTTTCCCCATTTGCTCTGATTGATTGCCCTTACAACTTCTGACTTCAATATTTTGGAGGAGAGTTCACTTTTATATTCACTTTCAGAGTTTCTTTTAGTGTTGTCTAAGTATAGTTGCTGTGAGTAGTTTCTCCAATGTTGAAGTAGATCCTTGAGAGCAGTAATTAATTTATTGTCCTTCACAATACTGTTAAAACTGCAAGGTTTTGTATGACCTGTCACTTCCTTAATGAGTTTATGCATGTTAAAGTGGTGATTTTTTTTTAAATTTTCTTAAGCTTAATTTTCAATTTTCCTACTACGGGATTGTGATCAGATCCGATATCTGTTCCAGGGTACGTTTTTACTCCTTGCGATCCATTTCTGTATCTCTGATAAATCAATAAAAATAGGTACCTGGTAGTTCAGTGTAATAGCAAAAAGAAAACGACAGCTAAAGAATAAATTTATTCAAATTTAAGTATGATAATATATCATTAGGTCCTAAACAGAATTTAATATAGCAAAATCAGTGCATATAGCTCGTCTCAATATTATACAGTATCCATAAAGATTAACAATAAATAATAAACTAATATTTACAACAAGACAACACCTCAACTCAACAACTTTCCTTATACATTCACTATAAGGATTTATAAACTGAAAAAGAAATTGTACAAACAATTCCTGTACACTATTCTATACAATTTTAAAATATTCTCTTAATAAGCCTCGTCTGATTTGTAAAACCTGAATTATTACATAAAATTCTGCGAAAAAGCGTATCATCACATAATTATTTTGACTTTTTGTATTGAACGTTGAATTCCTCCGTCAAGTCTTCTCTACGGAATCTTGTGCTACCTCAGGAGGATCCTGAAGAGCCAACGGAGGACTCACTGTTACCGGTTGTTGCTCCAGCATGTTCATATATATCTTAATCAAGTTGTTGACGCCGATTAAGTAACCGTCTTCGTGGTTGCCTACTTTCCACTTCGAGCTGTGCGTTATTTTGACGTTTTCTGGAAGGACTATGGTTTTGGCAAAGTCTATCAGCCAGACGTTGGCGTTGAATCGATCATGAACAAACAACAACGAACTTCCAATCACCTAGAAATACAAAATTGAATAAGTATTTGAGATAAACATAAGTATTAAAATAAACATGTGCATATAAGGTACGCGATTCAAATAAGGCAGAATTCTAATTAAGGCCCATCGGCTGTTTTTATTTAAAAAGGAGAAGATTTCTGAATATTATGTTTGCTTCTGGACGCTACTGGTATCTAGTGGTTAAATTTAAACTTAAATCGAGTTTAACCCCTTGACGACTATCGGTATTCTGAGATGACTACCTTTACAAACATTTCTTTTAAACTTCCCAGCGGTTTTAGTCATACCAGTGTGTAAAATTGGTTGCCTATATTAAATTCTAAGTGTCTAACCATTTTAGAACCGATTTGATTGAATCACATTGACTGGATAACATAATTAGTCAAGAACACATTGAAGCAGACGTTCGGTCACAGAATAATAAACAATTATTTGTTTATTATTCTGTGGTTCGGTGTTGATTGAGCGACATATTTTAATTGTTTTTCTTGTATTCAATCATTATTTTATTTTTACAAAAATTACGGGTAAGTGATATTTTTAAAGTCTGTTTTACACTAAGTACTGTTATTTGCATTATACATTTCAATTTTTTTTGTAAATCACTGTCTTTTATATGGTATTCTGGCGCGACCACATGGCACTTCCTATATGAATTCTGCCAATATGCAAAATCAAAAGTGGAGCTTCAGGCATTTGGAAAATATGTCCCAAAACGACGCCTTATTAGATGAAATTCCAAGTGACCAGGAGTCAATTGTCTCTGATATTGAAAGCGTTTTGGGAGATGAAGCGATGTTAATGAATTTCGGCAACCAAATAATGAGGATGTCTTTGATATTGGAAATATGGACATCGTGTTTGAAAACCAAATTAGCAATCAAGATAAAACAACCAATTCTTCAAATAATCAAGAATCGGAATCGGATAGTGAAGACGATGTACAGCTAGCAGTACGGCTAGGAAAGCGAGCTAACTCTACATTTTGGACCGAAAATGAAAGTTATATATGTAACACAAACAAATCAATTTATTGAAACTACAGGCCCAATCATTCCAAATTCTGCAGATAACCCCACATATGTGTTTTTGGATTGATTTTCTGAGGATTCAATTCCGATATAATTATATAAAATAACGGAGGAGGAAATGAATTTACACCTACCACAGAAGGCGAAGTCAAAACATTTCTTGAAGTAAATTTATTAATGGGTATAAAGGAACTGTCCATTTACAGAGATTATTGGTCGTCATTTGATGAATTACGAGACCCTTTCATCAGTTCGGTTATGTCACGTAACATATTCGCTTGGTTACTAGGTAATTAACATCTCGTTGATAATATAGTGCAGCCAAAAAAACTGATCGCGGATTTGAGAAACTTTATTAAGTGCGACCTCTACCGACCAAACTCACGGACACGTTTTTTGCGGCACTGAGTCCACATCAGTTTCAAGTGATTGATGAGTCTATAATACGATTTAAAGGTCGAAGCAGTATTCGACATTACATGCCCAATAAACCTATAAAACGTGGCTACAAAGTATGGTATAGAGCAGATTCAAGCCGATTCATGTGCGAGTTCCAGATATATATCGGTAAAGTGGTTAAATTCAATGAGTCGTACAGGACCTAGTAAACAAGGGTCTTAGTAAATAAATACCACCGAGTGTTCTTTGACAACTATTTCAACTATATTGATCTTCAGAGATCTTTATTGTCGAACGGAATTTCGCAAGTGGAACCGTTAAAAAATAAAAAGGAAAGAAAGGATTTACCAGAGTTTAAAACTGACAAACAAATGAAGGAGGAGATTCAAATTACCGTATTTTAACAAATGGACTATCTGCGTTGAAGTGGATGAATCGCAGAAGTGTGATTCTTTTAGCAGGTGACCAAAATCCAGCAACAAACGGAAGTTGTAAATACAAGACAAAAAGACGCGACTCTGAATGATGTTTCATGTCCCCAAATGGTAGTGCTCTACAACTCACATATGGAATATGTCGAAAAATATGGCATGCTGAAAAACACGTTTTTATGACGTGAATCGTAAATCACACAAGTGGTGACATAGAATATTTTTTTATTTTGTGGATGCTTACGTCGTAAACGCATTGATTTTATTTCAACTTAAAAGTCAATCCAAAAGAATTCTTTTTAAAAGAATTTCGGCTCTCTGTGGTTAAACGCCTTATTGGAACTCCAGAACAATTAAAAAGGGGAAGACCATTAAAATTTCTTTATTATTAATAAATATTAGTATTAATAAAATTTTGCTTTACTAAATGCCTTTATTTAATGAATATCTTGCAATAAAATACCCCAAAACATAAATGAACAAAAAAAAAACAATAGAAAAATAGAAAAAAGAATAGAAAAACAGATTCGACATACGCACTTCACCTTATAGATCATAATCATTCTTTTAATGACAAATTTAAAATTCTTCACATGTTTTATTGTTACATAAAATGAATTTCCATCAAGTAACGGTCGAATCCATCAATTATATTAAAAAAAAAACAAATAAAAAAGCAGGTGGGTCTTATTTAGATCAAATGGGAGACCTCTTTTGGAATTACTGTACCTAGTTAGGCCCACAACACTGATTTTGAAAAAACCATAATTAAAGTAAAACCGAAAGTAATTAAGTAGGATATTTAATAATTATTTAAAAATAATTAAATAAGACGCCTTCTTTGGGTCACATACCTTAATGTGTATTTATCTTCAGTTAGTGGTTTAATAAAATAGTTTTGATTTCTTATAACAAAGGCCATTTTTGTTTTATTCTAAATTGATTGGGTAAGTACTCTTGATTAAGCAAATATTTCAGAGAGGAAAGTCTGGTTTTACAAGAACTAATACTTTCTTCGTCGGGTTGCACGAACATTTGAACATAAATGCTTTTACTGAATTTAATACTAGTTTCTTTGACTTGAAACTTCTTTCAATATTCATAAAATGCTACATATGACCAATTCTACTGTACAATAGTGAAAACTGGTTAATTAAGACAACCCAATATACTCAAAGTAAAACACATTAAGATAGGACGTCTGAGGTGGGTAGGCCATGTAATGCGGATGAAGCAAACCAACCCAGCTAGAAAAACGCTCCTTGATAGACCTATTGGTCAAAGAAGAAGAGGAAGACCCAGAACAAGATTCCTAGTTAACATAGACCAAGATATGAGAAATATGGAAATACGTGCTTGGCGGAGAAAGGCGATGGATAGGGACGACTGGAAGAGAATTCTTGGGGAGGCTAGAACCCACACAGGGTTGTAAAGCCAAGATGATGATGATATACTCAAAGGGAGCTACTAGACATCGTAAAACAACGCACTCACACTTGAACCATATTCTAACATAAAAAAAATTGAACAAATCTGATCGATTAGTTTACCGACTTGTTTATATCGTGTTACCATAATGTAACTGTAGTTCAAAAATGGCAATGAGGCTAATGCTATTTTTACCGATTTTTTCTTGTATAGCTTGTGTTGTGGAAAACACAAGTCGTAGTAGTTAAGGGATCTGTTTATATTGCTTTAAAAGATACCTCAGCGGTGCCGTAGAGGTTTAACTGTTAACCACAATTGATTTTCTATCCTGAATTATTGTAATAAATTGTGTACCACTTCTAGGAGACTTAAAATTATATTAAGTAACTGAGTAACTGACTTATCGTGAGATAGTCTTAAATGCACTCTCGAAATGGATACAAGTTAATCATATATTTGTAAATGGACATAAATTCTTTTTTCATGGGTTTCTTTTATTACAGCTATACAATACTGGTTACATTGCCAAAAGGATATAGGTATTGTCAATGAAAGACAACTACGGTCTGGGTGTTTTGTGTGGTAAATGACTTGTTCACTATTCAGCGAAAATTGTCAAAGTATGTTTCATTTGTCAAGATGTTAAAAAGGTCATCAAACTTATACTCACCTCATGTGAATTAAAAAATTGGGAAGTCTCCAAAGTGGCTTTAATAGCTTTCAGCCTCTGAATATATTTGGGCTAAAAAAATAAAGACAAAAAATTATAATACTGTTACGAAAAATATTACAAAAATAACAATACTAATAAATACTACTAAATAAAATAACTTCCATATCGTTTTTCCTTTTTCAGTCAATTTAAATTTTAATAATTTAAACTCTAATATACTCACTCTAAGACAACGAAATTGGTGGCAAATATCTCGTATGTTTAAAATATTTTAACAATATTTGGTTAACTTTAACCACAGAATACACCAGTTGGGATGGAGTATTCTGTGCTTTAACGAAAACACAAGCTGAATATAGACGGAAATATTAACCATGGAAAAAATATTTCGGTTCGGCAGTGTTTGCATGTTTTCATAATGTATATGTTGTATGCTGGAAACATACAGAGAGAAAAAGCTTTAGAAAATAGATGGATTTGGCAATTCTCAAACCACCAGTTGCCAGATTGCAACATTCGTTGGCAATTAATCTCGAAACAAACAAATCTTTACTCGGTATTGTTTTATATAAATTAAAAAACGCAGTATTCCTAAAATAATACACAATCAATATATATTTTTTAAAAGCTTTTTCTCTTTATATTTGAAGCATACAATATACGCATTATAAAAACATCCCAATACTGCCAAACCAAAATATATTGTGTGATGGTTGACATTTGCGGCTATATTCAGCTTGTACTTTTCTCAACCTGTACTATTTATGTTGGAAACACAACTTTAAAAAGGTTAAACATATTTTGTTTTCTTTTTATATTTATATGATGACTGAATGAGGTTTATAACTGATTTAGAGTATTGACACATCTACCAAATAATTAATTTTATAATATCTATTAAATTTCTGAACTACCAAAAGTTATTAATACAAACTATAAAATTTTTTATGAAAATATTTTCGTTAAACATGTTTTTTATATGAATACTCACTATCGCATGTGGAAATCCGTCAGTGAACTTCTCGAATGCGGCCATAACTTGGTCTTTGGTCTTGGTAGTCTTAAAGTCCTTCGTGGACGTACCGTCAGCGCTTCGAATTCCTTCGATTCGAAAGCCTAATGTTGCCGTCGAGGAAATTGTTTCTCTCCAAACCATGTACCTTGGTTTTGTAACTCCTTTAAGCTTATGCTCTTCGTCAGTTGGCGCGGTCTGGTCAATTTGGCACATTTTGTCGTACATATCCTAAAATAATGCAAAGTTACAAATTGACAACGTGTATGATTATTAGAAAAGGATGGCGGAGCAAAAAGGTTTGTTATTCTATATTTATTCATACAATGTACAAGGGTTCGTTTTAACTTAAAGACCGTGAATGCGCATTTACCGTGAAAACACAAAGTACGGATTAATCTTGTATACCATAATATGTGACTGGCTGTATTACTAATAGTCCAAGTCATAAAATGTATGTATTTCATCGGTCAATTAAAAGGATATATAGACAAACATGTAGGCGTGAAAAATCAATGTCATTAAATTTCCGCAGTTTAATTTTACTAGAAATAGCGAAAAGCAATTGATAGTGGTAGTACTCAGGTATTTTCTTTTATTTTCATGGCCTTATTGTTCGATACCATGTTGGTGACCATATTCGCTAAAGTGACTGTATTGACAGCAGCTATAAATAATTATGTAGTCGATTTTCCGTAGTATTGTCCTCAGCCATGAGGTTCTTCTCTATCAAAACCTCCTTCTGTGTACTTTGGGTCTTTTCCTGAATGATCAGATTTAAAACTTCATATTTTTCAGTGTCTCATAATGGGACAGAAGTATTTCAGCTTGTGTCTCTATTATACTGACCAGTTATATTATTTGGTTCAGCTGTCTAAGGACCTCTTCATTTTTTATCGACCCAGCTTATTCTTAGTAATCGCCTGTATGTCCACATCTCAAAGGCTTCCAAGCATTTAAGTATAACGTAATACACTGGTAAAATTTGTGAAGACTGTAAGATTTGTGAAAAGTCAAAGACTGTCATGGCTGGGATATGTGCAGAGACAAAACGATGCAAAAACAACAAAGAAAATGTTACAATGGAAGCCCATAGGAAGGAGAAAAAAAGGAAGGCCCAGAACGAGATGGTTGGATGACGTGAAAGACGACCTGAAAACAATAAACATAAGACAATGGAGAAGAAGGTCACAAGCGAGATCTGAATGAAAGGATATACCCAGACAGGCAAAGACCCATCCAGGGTTATGATGGCAAAAGAAGAAGAAGAAGTAATACACTGGATATTTCTTATTTTGTAGTTTAGTAGGTCCTAAAACTCTTCGTAAAGATTATTCATACAAGGATATACAACAGATGTGAAAGAGACATTAGCCCGACACAGTTCGGTTTCAGACAAAGATTTGGCACAAGAAAAGCACTTTATAGCCTAGTCCTACTTCAGAAATACAGAGATCAGCAAATATATGTCTTCCTATGCTTTGTAGATTACCAGAAAGTATTCGATTGTATTAATCATTCAGAATTAATAAGATTGCTCCAGGAACGTTCGATAGATGAGAATGACCTTAAGATCATGCACTTTTTAGAGCCACACAAGATCGAGAGGAGTATGCCAGAATTGTCCCCAACATCCACTAATTGGATAGGGCACCATAAGAAGAAAGTATCGTTTGAGATCTTTTCTCTACTAATCGTAACTGTTTTCTTATTAGTCCTTGTCCCCCTTTTCAAATTCAATCTTATATTTAATCAATTCAGACCTTGAGATAGATAATTTAATGAAATAATATAATATAGATCAAAAATAGCTTAATAATCATATGATTACCTTTCTCAATTTTGGCTTTTCCTTGGCTTTAGCTAGTTCTTCTTCTAGATAAGTTCTTACTCCGATCTTGCAATCCATCACACATGGTGATACGAAGTCTCCCAAGAGATCCTGTAATTGAATATAGGAACATTCTCCATCATCACTGGTTACCAGACCCTTATACTCAGGAACATACGGTCGTAGTACATCCTTCATTAGAATCTAAAATGCATATCAACTTATTAAAAAAGCAATAACTAAAATTATTGTTCAAAGAGATAAAATAATTTGTGATTATAAAATTAAAAAATAAACTCATATTTACGAAATAAATTAAGAAAGATACAAATATGGCGAGCAGATGAATAAATTATTTTAATAATACAAACGGCAAAAAAATATACATGGAATTCTAAAATATTAATACACAAGAAAGAGAGAGATGATAAACAATTGCAAACGCATAGTTTGGAATTCACCAAATCATCCAGAAGCATACATAAAAAATATAGCCGAAACTTTACAGATTAATAATCCCAAACCTCTAAGTATCGACGATCACAATAAATTAATAACAGACTCGGTTAGAAAAGCACAACTCAAATTTTGCAAAAAAAAATGACACCAAAAGTGAAAAGATTAGCAAAAATACAAAAGCTCTTATGGAAATACGACGAAACCTAAGCGAGAATAAAAAGGGAAACAAAGAAGAATATAAAAAACTAAATAAAAGAATTTCAGCGGAAATTAGAAAAGATGTAAGAAGATATAATACTAATGTAATTACGCAAACAGTAAAAGAGAACAAAGGTTTAAAGATAATGAAAAGAAAACTCACACAAAGTAAAAAAGAAATATAAAGGCTGAGAGATAAAAACGGAAAGGCAACAACAGATAAACAAAACATTCTGAAAATAACCAGAGAGTTTTACAAAGACCTCTATACCAGCCAAAGACCACAAGACAATTTCCTGACACCAGTAAAGACTCTCATAAATCAGGGATCGGAAATACTTTTACCCATTACTGTGTCAGAAGTAAGAGCAGCTTTAAAGGAAATGAAGAACCATCGATCGCCTGGTGATGATGGACTCGTTATCGAGGCAATAAAAGCAGGAGGAGAAATTTTATTAAAATCAGTAAGCGAACTGTTTAATAAATGCTTACAGGGCAGGATATAGCACAAATGACCATTTGCATGCCATAAAGATCCTAATAGAAAAGTGCATCGAGTACAACATACCACTGGTTCTTGCATTTGTCGATTACGAGAAGGCTTTTGATTCTGTAGAGTTTGAAACAATACTGGAAGCCCTAAATCAAAGCCGAATAGGTTACAGGTACACGACACTAATCAAAAACATCTACGAGAACGCTACATCAACTATATGACTACACGAAGACACAAAAAAATTCAGCTTAGGTCGAGGAGTTAGACAAGGAGACAATATTTCACCAAAAATGTTCACGGCAGCTCTAGAGTCAATATTTAAAAGCACTCAATGGCAAGATATGGGCATCAATATAGATGGAGAAAGAATAAATCACCTAAGATTTACAGATGATGTTGTATTAATCGCAGATAATTTACAAGATACAGTTTCTATGAGGCATTCGCTTAAAAGTCTGTCTGAAAGAGCAGGATTAAAGATAAACTTTGAGAAAACTAAACTTATAACAAATCTCGTAATGAGTGGAAATATAACTATTGACAATAATACCATACAACAAACAGAGACTTACAAATATCTTGGACATGAAATCAAAATAAGCAGAGACAATCAAACACATAAAATACAGAGGCGAATAGGCCTAACTTGGGCTGCATTTGGCAAATTAAGCCATATTCTAAAAAGTTCAATTCCCATGTGTCTCAAGCGAAAGGTTTATAACCAATGTGTTTTACCTGTACAAACTTATGGAGCAGAGACTTTAACACTCACGCAAAAATCTGCGAATAAACTCAGAGTTACACAACGAGCCATGGTCATGCAATGCTGAACGTGAGCCTTCGAGACCACATAACAAACCAACAAATTAGGCAAATATCAGGAGTTCAAGACGTCATCGAAAGAACCACGTCGCTTAAGTGGAACTGGGCAGGACACTTAGCAAGAGCACAAGATGAACGGTGGACAAGACGTATTATGGAATGGAGGCCCAGAAACTATAAGAGAAGCCGAGGACAACCACCGACTAGATGGACCGATGATATAAAACGTGTAGCGGGAAACTGGCAACAAGCGGCCCAGTGTAGAGAACACTGGAAAGAACTGAGGGAGGATTATGGCCAGCAGTGGACGCGATTGACTGATTGATGAATACACAAGAAAGGTGCAGAACTATTAAAAAACTTTCTAGCACACGTAGAAAATTGCAACTTGGTACATTAATAAATAACAAAAAGGATTATTCTAAAGAAAACCGAGTTGGAATAAAAAAAGCACGAATAAACTCCAATAAAACCGTAACGGCACTTTATACAAACAACCTTAAACTAGAGTAGAAGAAATTGAAAGAATGCGAATTATGAATATATGGGGTAATGCTTAAGATATTGAGTATGGGATAGATACTCTTTTACGTTCTTGGTAGAAGAAAAATCTACCTCTAAGGATGTAGTCACGCTCCTGGTATCTGGGAGGAATTATGTCTTAGACCCAATCTTACATCTAATTACCAAAGTTTCCCTTTCCATATTCTACTCATGTCGGGCAGCAGCATCACCAATACCAAGATAGAGCGTAAGGGAAATGATCCTGGATTGGTCTATTATTGGATACGAAGGGAACGACTACCGGTTTAAGTAATCTCCTACTTGTTGGTCAACAGCTACGGATGAAGAACCGACACGTGCTAGAGCACTTTATTGTCCTGGGCTGAGAAATTACCTCAGAAGGCGGAAGAGCTTAATAAGTCAACGGCATTAAGACGAGGAAACCACAGGATGGCTACCACGTTAAAAATCTGCATGGATCCTTAGTTTAAATCATCATGGACCCACTAGTCTATAATTTTCTTAATGATCATGGAGCTCGAAATTCAAGATCCGACAGATGATTAAAATTTGATTTAGAAGACAGGGCCTTTCAGGTTATTATCAAGGTAACTCCCGGTCAAACAAATAAGAATAACTCTAGAGATTAAGAATTGAAACATGGAACGACAGAAGGCTATACCAATCAAGCAAACTCGGTAATATTGTGTTACCTAGTTTGCAGAATGCAGAAAATGTGCAGAATGAAGATTAACATACTCTGGTTTATAGCGATATTAAATGCTCTGAATCTGGAAAATGTAACATCAAAATTGGAACAATGTATTTTGCCGACAAGAATTTGCATTATAGTTGATAATAATTCCCAAAAAGCTATTTGTAACTTTGTTTTCTACTCTGATCGAGTATTAATGCTGTCTCTTAACTCTCATTTAAAACGTAAAATAAATATAATCCAAGTATATGTATCCACTGCAGACAAGGATGAAGACACCATAGAAAAACTTGGCAATGTCTTAGAGCTGATTGAAAGACATAATATAATTATTATAATGGGGGATTTTAACGCCAAAATGGGGCCAAGAAGAAGTAGATAATTATCAATCAATCAAGCAATCAATTAATCAGTTTATAACATTATAGTTCGTCTTCTGGTTAATACATTTTTGGTAAAGGCTGGCCAGCTGCTTATATAATTTGCTTGTATCGTACTTGATTAGCTCAGGTGGGATATTGCCAGGGCCTATTGATTTTTATCCTTTCTCTGATTTTCTATTCTAAATAATGAAAGAATAGAGAGTTGTGTGGGCAATATAAATTCGGGCAGGAAAATGAACGTGACAATATGCTGGTTTAAAGTTATATCAATTTGGAACTTACAATTGCAAATACGTTATTCAAACTTCTTAAACGTAGATTATATACAAGGTTTATCACCAGCTGATAGTAACAGCAAAACCGTTAGAAATCAAATAGATTATATGATCGCCAACAGAAGATATAGAAATTCTATATCATCCAAAACTTATGCAGGAGCAGACATACGTAATCCGGTTATTTTGACGATGAGAGTGAAAATAAAGAATGTAAAGCACCCTAGCTCCAAGAAAATCATGGATACAGGCAGTTCAAACAAAACAAAACATGCGAAAGTGAAATTTAAAATAAACGAGAATTTAAGGAAATTTAAAGAAGATGACGCAAAAGCTCTATAAAAACTATTAACCAAGAATGAAAAAAAATTTAACATGTCGTTGTATCAGTTGAAAAAACCCTCAAACCACATAGAGAACAAAAAAGAAAACCTTGCTCATTCTCCGAAAATAAACAACATGCATCGGAGAGAGATAATTGAACAGAAACAGTCAATCAAATTCTATGACTCCATTACATCTTTACGAAGGAGACAAAAAAAGGAGGAGGATATAATTTTTATAATATATTTGAATATACATCACAAATATGTTACCTTAAAACACTTTTCTTCCTTCGCACAAAGCTTTTTCAGAATTGTACCTTGATCAGGGCCAGCCTTGAAGTTTCCTTGATGTCCAGCTAACTGTACCCAAGGATATCGTTGCTTTTTGTAAGTTTGGAAGAACGGCGTCCATTGAACGATGTTCCTTAATTTTCTCCAACCGGAAGGCTGTAAATGGAAAAAGGATAAAATTAGATTAATTTAATTAACAAGAGGTCAAAAAAGAACAAATAAATACAGCAAACACTACATATATAGTTTTGTGTTTAATTTTATTGATAGTTCATGACAGTCACAAAACGTAACAAAATACTTTTATATACCTTGTCGGCTAATGGTGCGCAATGCGCAATGCGCACCATGCGCACCTTTAAACGACGTTCCATTTCACATTGAATTAAAACAAAAGAGAATCGGTCAAAACTAACTATACCAGTGGGTACAAGGATAAATAAATAACGTGTATATGTTCTTTTTAAACTATATTTCTAACCAGAAAAACATTAACCGGTTATTTTCTCATACACACAAAAATAAAATACCACGCTAAAATACTTAAACGATAACTACTAACCGGTAAAGCATTTTATTAAATAGGAGATTGGAAACATTGATGCGCACAATTACTTGACGCGCACCATTAGCCGACTCTTCCCTATATCATATTTTTACCATAGTAGATTAAAATATGTCTCGTAATTTAGTTTTTTGTTAAGATTTAAACAGATCTATTAACAAACCAAAAAACTACAAACAAATCTGTGGGCTATTGGTTTTCCGCTTCTTTGTCGTCTATACATTTCCGGTTTGCAGCATTTTATCTTTAATCTTGCACACATTTCTTAAAAATCATGTTGTCCAATATCGTCATATCGTCCAATATGTCATAGCATCAAAGGATATTTGGATTTCTATATCCATCCTGTATTTATTTTACTTATCGTGGACATATTCTCCAGAAATGTGTGTTAACATGACTTGCAAAATATATTGGGTACGTTGTATATGACGTAAGATGACTATGAAAAATACGAAATTTGGAATTAACTTTAACCATTTCGCTGAAACATTCAGAGATGAGGATAACAGTTACTTACATTGTATTATAACGTATACACAATATGTTTGTATAAAAATTAACTACATATTAAACTATTTATTGCCATTATTAACTACTGTAAACGCCATTAAAGTGATCATTAAATCTAAATAAGATCTCACTCACTAAAATAACTTCAAATAATTGCAATAACATATTTATCGGAAAATAACAGTTAGATTAAACACTTTACGAACTTAACTTACGAAAATATTTTCGTAAGGCTATTTTCCTCATTTTGGTTTATTTGGTAATAGGCAGTTCTTAAACTATTTTTTCTGATTTATGGTGATAGGTATGGTTGTAAATTTTCGTTAGTAGAATATTAGTACATTGTTTACCGGGTAGGAAAAGCTTAACATTCCTGGACGACTGTGAAGATTGCTAAGTCGAGGCGCAAGCCGAGACTTACCAACACAGAGTCCAGGAATGTGGCTTTTCCTACGAGGTAAACATACTATTTTTCCGCAAATCGTTTAAAATTCGACAGATATTGATTGATTTAAAAAAAAAAACGCGATAATTTTATTTCCAAATAAATGGTGCTTTGAAATTCCTAATAAAATTACTTGGGTTACTATGGAAACGTATTGAGGTTGAATTGTCAAACTTGACGCTTATAAATTTAATTGCTGGTGTTCTCGAAAGTAAAATGATAAGTGATGATGAAATTTCCATTCCTGGGACTCTTCCAGAGCTGGTTGAGGCAGTGAATACTGCTTCATTAGAATTATTGCCAAAGAAATCAAGAGAAAAGTACGAAAATGCATACAGACGTTTTATGGATTATCGCATGAGTAAAAATACGAGTTCTTTCTCAGAAAATGTTGTAATGGCATACTTCCTAGACCTTTGTTTAAAGATGAAATCTTCAACATTATGGGCCAATTATTCAATGCTGAAGTCAACCCTTGCACTTAAACACAATGTGGATATATCTACATACTCAAAACTTCGTTCTTTATTGAAACGGCAAGCTCAAGGTTATAGGGCAAAGAAATCTAAGATTTTAACGAAGGAAGAAATTGAAAAATTTATCCAGGAAGCTCCAGATAAAGAAAATTTAATGATTAAGGTAATTTACAAGGTTTTAATTTCTATTTAGATTATAGCTTTATTTATTTTTTAGGTGGCTGTAATATTTGGTATTTCTGGGGCCTGTAGAATGGATGAGTTAGTCCGAATGACTGTACACGATATAGAAGACTTAGAATCTAAGCTTTTAATCAGCATACCTGATTCGAAAACCAACAAACCAAGATCATTTGTAATTAATCAGATCTACTTGAATGTTTATCGAAAGTATGTTTCGTTAAGACCAGAAAATATGAACAGTGACCGATTTTTCTTTAAATATCAAAGCGGAAAGTGTTGTAGACAAGTGGTAGGAATTCATCAATTTAGAAAAATGCCCAAAATAATTGCTACTTATTTAAACTTGGTAAATCCGACAGAAAATACTGGTCACTGCTTTCGTCGGTCTTCTGCAACAATATTGGTTGACTCTGGTGCCGATATAACTAGTTTGAAGAGGCATGGCGGATGGAAGTCATCAAACGTTGCTGAAGGATATATCGAAGAATCGCTTAACAATAAGGTTGAGGTGGCAAATAAAATTTTCACAGTACAAAATATTCAACAAAATGACACTTTCACCCTGCATGTTGTCCAAAATGTTTCTCATAGTTCTAAGAGTGTTCCTCCAATGTTCAATAATTGTACTAACTGTCAAATTACTGTAAATATAACAAATTGATCTTAAAAATGTATTCAGCAATGACTTGATGTTTTCAAAATATAAATTAATTCCTTATAAGCAATGTGTTTTCTATCATTTATGTAGAACACTAACAACTGTACGGAAATATCATTTCCTTACAGTAAGGAAATGACATTTCCTTACAGTAAGGAAGTCCTGACTTTTTCTTCAAGAAATTTTGACAGGAATGTCAAAATTTCTTGAAGAAAAAGTCAGGACTTCCTTACTGTAAGGAAATGTCAGTTCCTTACTGTAAGGAAATGATATTTCCGTACAGTTGTTAGTGTTCTACATAAGTTTGACAATTCAACCTAAATACGTTTCCATAGTAACCCAAGTAATTTTATTAGGAATTTCAAAGCACCATTTATTTGGGAATAAAATTATCGCGTTTTTTTTAAATCAATCAATATCTGTCGAATTTTAAACGATTTGCGGAAAAATGGTATGTTTACCTCGTAGGAAAAGCCACATTCCTGGACTCTGTGTTGCTAAGTCTCGGCTTGCGCCTCGACTTAGCAATCTTCACAGTCGTCCAGGAATGTTAAGCTTTTCCTACCCGGTAAACAATGTACAATTCTTTTAAGGTGACGGTTAATATATGAATTTTGGTTTCTTATTGAGTGGTAAGACTACTACTCTGTAACGATGGTTAAGATTTTAGCTGGAGCACGGTTAATCCAGCCCCACCCTGGGACCTTCTAGCCTAGTGCCATACTCGGACGGAAGATGCCAGGGTGTCTTGCTCCGTGACATTAGATCTCAAAAATATCCTCACAGCTGCTTGCTAGAATTCAATGGATATCCTCTTAGACTCTCACTGTGCACTTTTATTTGCTTATTTTCCTTCGCTTACTTGATAGAAAATCGTAAAGCAATTGTATATATTGTAATAAAATTTGCCAACGACTACTTTAGTAGTGGAGTTTACAGAGTGCTAATTTTTTTTTTTTCAAAAAATCTTGTCTCCGTTTGGCACGTATATGTACGAGCCTTCGACTATCTTTAAAAAGTAAACAAACTTTATAGAGTTTCAAGGAGTTTGCTAACATACTATACAAAAAAATACCGCTTCTTTAAATAGTTAAAAATTAAATTACTGTACTTTACTGTGTAAAAAACAGTTGACAATAATAATTGTTATTTTGTACTTTTCTGTTTTCATATAATCTAAAAATTCACGCATATGAAAAAACCACGTATTTTAATACATATTACGGTTTTACCTGCGGTTTTGTACAAACATAATAAAACGTTTTGTTTATCGTGTACATAAAAGGAAATACACAAGAGATAAAAACTGTTTATACCGATATGATCGAGAAGAAATATTTAAGATTGCGGTTTATTTCTACATTAATATTATAATGTGTTAAAACTTTTAAGAGAAACACACCACAAGACATATCATGAAGGTAAAGTTTTTACTTTAGAACCCCTAGTAGTAGAGAACGTGGTTGCTATTTCAATTGGACATAAAGTACTAAAATCGACTTTGGTTCAATTTCGTACTCATACACAACTAAAACAACTCTAAAATTCTTAAGTTACTTATTTACAATGATTTTAGAATTTATCTTTGTTGGTTTCCGCTTTGACCCTATAGAATGCCTTTAAGTGTAGAATCAGAATTCAGAGAGCCGCCATTACATCACAAACGCACACGTCTCACACTAACAGAAAAGTGTCTACACATCTACAATAATAAACCGCATAAGGCAAAACCTTACTATCAAGGTACACGAGTAGTACTGTAGACAAAACCTTCCTAGTGGTTCTCCCTACAAAATTGATCACCTCTCTCCCTGGACAGTAGACGTTTTCCAATGTTCATCTTTTCGCATCAAATTTGATAAACATAATACCAACAGTACAATAATTAAAACCTCTATTAGCATTTTAAGCAAACATCATTATCATCAGTTGGCGCTACAGCCCTTCGTGAGCCTTAGCCGGTCTCAAAACATTCTTCCATCCTTCCATGTCGAGTATCTGTCTTCTTCACCCCCTTAATCCAATCTCCCTTACATCGTCCTGAACATCATCCAGATACCTGAGTTTAGGTCGCCCTCTTCGTCTTCCGACTGGCCTAGAATGTTTGTTTTTATAAATAGTCTTATATAAAATATTTGGTTTCACGCAAACAGCGCCTATGTATCTGTTGATACGTATTTCGACCTAATAAGTCTCATCAGAACAGTTATTCATAGGTGTTCTCAACGTGAAAAATCAATATTTTCTGTCTTTTAAGAAGCAACACTAAAATGGCTTCGATATGGACGCAATAGCGACATCTGATAATAAATCCGT